ATATCAAAGTGTAAGATATTATAGTGAACGTAATATAAGTATTAAAAGATATTGTACTATTTTGTTTGCTAAAAGATGGTGTGCATGGTACAATAATTCGAGAATGCCTAAATTAAAGAAAGAGAATTAATTATTAAATGTTAGTGAGATTTTGCTCTATACTATTCGTTTGTGATTGTTGATTATAGCAATCAATGATATGATTAATTTACATAGTGTTGATTATTATAATGAATCGGGATTAATTTAATGAAGTAATGATGTATTTAGTTTTAATGCTATACTTTATTTTTTTACTTTGATTGATACTAGTGTAATATACATCATATAGTTTTTATTGTTTTGTTGTACTAGGTGGCATTAGGCCATATAACTAATTGTTCTGTTATTTTTAAGAGTTTTTCAAAACGTTCAAGTTCTTTTTTAAGGTCAGAATCTATAGTAACATTAAGTTTAGACTAGTCAAAAGGTCAAAGTATTATGATATCTTCTAACTTTTGTACTCGTGATAATATTATATAAATGCCCGCTCTTTTGTTTCCACTATCTAGATCAACGATTGCTTTTTTTAATGTAGCACCTTGACATTTAATTTCAATTATCACAAATGCTGAAGTGATAGGTAATTGTTTCCTCTGAAATTCTTGAGTTATATTTGTTCCTTCTCTTGTTTTATATATATATTTGTATTTTCGTTTGATTAGATATATTAGTACATAATTTAGCGGAAGACTATCATATGCATTTGGTTTTTGGCTGAGAATTTCTATTATTATATATTTGGGAGGTTTGTTAAAAATGATAATTTTTTCTCCTTTGTTATTTATGTTCTTTATAATCGATGATGTAACATCGTATACTATTTTACGAAGTGTTCCTTGGGCTCCATTAACCATACCATCATTTGTACAGATATTGATCGTCAAAGCTACTTTCATGCCTATTAATAGCAGTATTATACCACATAAAGTATTTGATTTTGTGTCTATTACGCTAAGAAACTTTTGTCATATATTACTACAGATAGATTTGTTTTTGTATGTGTCTTCCGCACAGATATAATAAATTAGTTGGTTGTGGTCTTTAGCATATTTGATTGTGGCTTCAAAATTGATTTGAATTCG